GAAGGCACTGGCGAAAAACAAGGAGCCAGGAATTGACGGAATACCAATCGAGATGTCTCAACCAAGGGATGCAGCGCTGGAAGCACTCACTCATCTATGCCAAGAAATTTGGAAGACAGTTACCTGGCCAACCGACTGGAAGAGGTCCCTATTTGTGCCCATTCCAAAGAAAGATGTTCTAACAGAATTGGGAAATTATCGAACAGTATCATCAATATCACCTGCAAGTAAAATTTTGCTGAAGATAATTCAAAAACAATTGCATTATTTCTATCATGTTGAGGAATAACAAATAACATACAGTATACATCATATAAAGGAGCCCTGGTGGTGCAGTGGTTAAAGCACTTGGCTGCTAACCAAAAGGTCAGTGGTTGGAACCTGTCAGAAGCTCTGAGGCACAAAGATGTAGCAGTCTGCTTCCATAAGATTTACAGCCTTGGAAACCCTATGGGGCAGTTCTACTCTGTCCTTTAGGGTCTCTATGAGTCGGAATCAACTCGATGGCACTGAGTGGGTGGGATATATTGTATAACATATTATTTTTCTACCTTGTTACTACCTTTGTTTAAGCCTTAAATCTACAATTAAATCTGTTAAATGCTTGCCATCAGTCACTTTGCTGAAAATTTGACTTTAACCAACCAAGCAGCTCATATCTTGGTTGGTTAAAGTTCATCTAGTAGATTCCTAACCAAGAGCTCGTAGGTGCAGAATTTCCTGATCTCTTGCAAGTTTACAACTGCTTTTCTATAATCTTGATCTTTAGGAGAGCTTGGCTGGATATGAAATTTTTGTTTCACACTTTTTTTCCTTGAGTTTCTTGTAAATGTTACTCATTGTTACCTGGATTGATATGTTGTTGTTCAGAAGCATGAGCCAGCCTAATTCTCTTTCCCTTGTAAGTTATTGTGATCCTGAGAAAGTTTTCTGTGTCTTTAAAGCCTTACAGCTTTAGTAGCATACCTCAAATCCATGATTCCCTGAGCACTTTGTAACTTTGTTTCCCGATATGATTTTGGGGCTTGTCTGTTATTTTTTCCCTGTGTTTCTTCTTCATCTTCTTCTGTTTTCATTTGTGTTCTAAATTTTTGAAGTTCTGATTCTTAGTGTTTTCTCCTCTCAAATACTTACTTGAGAATATTTATTCTGTTTTAGATTACTATATTACAGTTTTTATTTATTTTTTTGCTTTGCTGTTTTTTAGGGGGAGGGTTTTTATCAGCAAAACTGTTGACTCTCATTTTGTCTTTTCTTTTTTTGGAGGCTTTTATGTTTTAATAAATGAAAACTGTGCCTCTGAATTTCTGTGGACAGGACTGGTGACTGGGAGTGGTTTTTGAGATTCTTAGTTGAAACACGCCCTCTTATCTCTGTGTAGAAAAGTATAGTGTTTTTAGCAGCTGAGTTTTAATTTTGGAGGATGTAGGTGGGGGAGAAATGTGTTTCCTTTGATTGCTTTTGATTTAATTTTGTCTTGAAGCATCCTAAGTTTTTCCTTCACTCTTTCTTCTTTACCCCTTTCATTGGGTGGTTTCCAAAAAGCACCTTTCCTCGTTTTTTCTTCTTTTAAAAAAAAGCTTTATTGAGAAATAATTCACACACATTATAATTCACCCACTTAAAATGTACAATCAAATGTTTTTGTTATGGTCACAGGAGTCCATGAGTAGTGCAAATGTTTAAGCTGTTAGCTGCTAACTTAAAGACTGGCAGTTAGAGTCCACCCAGAGGTGCCTTGGAAGAAAGGCCTGGCAATCTACTTCCCCAAAATCAGCATTGAAAACATTATGGAGCACAGTTGTGCTCTGACATACGTGGGGTCACCATGAGTTGAAATTGACTTGATGGCAACTGGTTTGATTTGTTTGGTTTATTGTAGTCACTGAGTTGTGCAACCATCACAATAAAATTTAAGAACATTTCCGCAAGTGCGGACACACACACGCACACACGCGCACACACACACACACTCGCGCACACACACACACACTCCTAGAAACCTGTATCCATTAGCAGTCTCTTCCATTCTCTCTCACCTCACCTCCCAGCCCTGGGCAATCACTAACCTACTGTCTATCTCTATAGTTTTACCCACTCAGGACATCGCCTATAAGTGCGATCATACTATATGCGGTCTTTTGTGAATGTCCTCTTACTCTCTTCTTCCTTGGAAGTACGGTAAGAATTCCTGTTCTAGACTATCTCCTTGCATTCCTACGTGCTCTTGTAAGTTCCTTCCCTGTATGCAGCGTGCCCGTGTAGGTCCCTTCCCTGTTCGCAGTGTGCTCTTGTACCGGAATACACTTGTTACCATTTCCCAGATTTGTCCTTATTTTCCATGAAGGTTTGTGGAGAGGAAGCATAGCAGATAATTTATTGGTATGTTTATTTTCTTGTTCGTTTTCCAGGTAACTTGAGATTTGAATGTTTTTTGTCTTTTAGTGAGGGCAAAGTATACATTTTGTGTAGTTTTATTTGTTCTTGTTGTTCTCTATCATTTTTCAAAAGAAATGTTGGGAAATTCTGATTTATATGACTGTCATTTCCTTGGCAACCAAGAATTCCTGTAACTTCTTTTTAAGGAGAATGCTGGGTTCTAACTATTTGGGGCACTGACAGTTACAAATTAATCTGGAATTGTACTCTAGCACCAAGAAGGCTTATCGTAGGTTCTGGCTGTATTTACTTGCTTTTTTTCTAGATAGAACCTAAGTCTATGAAATCCCTGTCTTAAGGGATTGAATTTTCAGGCTATGACTCAATGTTTTTTCTGAGACACATTTTAAAAGAACAATACAGGGCTTAGCAGATCTGTCCTAAATCATCTTATTGTTTAGAAGTCTTTTTCCTATTATAAGGAATTTGTTGTTTATATCTGATATAGACTACTATTTTAGAGGATTTTTGTGTGAATGTTTGTGAAGATAATTGTGGAACTAGGACACAGTGAATATAGTTGAACATAGGTGATAAATGTGACAATATAAGGTAGGAATTAAAATATGCCCTAAAACTAGGGAGTTATGTTTATTCTTATGTAATTATTAACATTGGTTTGTTCTGTTATTTCTGCACCCTAGATTTTCTATGTATTGTCATAGATTACAACTGTAAGCTGGAACGAACCTTGACAATCATAAAATCTAACTATTTTTTTTTTAAATAATGATATTAGTAAGTTTAAACAAATTCCCTAAAATCACAAAACATATTCGGAACAGAGTTGAGTTCGGAGCCCCTGTATTAGCTAGCTTTTGCTGTGGAGCAAATCACCCCAAAACACAGTGACTTAAAACAATAATTATTTGCTTAGCTCAAGATTCTGTGGGTTGGTAATTTGGGCCGGGATCAGCTTAATGGATTTTCTGCTGGTTTTGGCTCATTGCTGCTGGGCTCTCTCATGTGTCTGCAATCAGTTAGTAGGTTGACTAGTATTTGAATTACCTAGAATGTTCCCATTCATATGTCTGGAGGTTAGTGGGCTCTTGGCCAGGGCAATAGAGGGGACCAGGCCATGATCCTTTACCATCTAGCAGGCTAGCCTGGGTTTGCTCACCTGCTGGCAATTGCAAGGTGCAGAGAACAGCACGGGTGGAAGCTGAAAAGTATCTTGAAGCTTACGCTTGAGCATGCTATTAGTCGAAGCAAGACACGAAGTCATCCCAGATTTAAGGGGTGGGAAAATTGACTCTACTTTTTGATGGGAGGAATTACAAAGAATTTGTGTTTTTTTTTCTCCCCAATCTCACAACTCCAATTAGTTAATTTGCAGTCCATGGTGTTCTCAGTACAGTACCTCTAGATGAGCAATTAGATAAGCTAGCTTTGCCTCTCTACTTAACAGTAACTAATTTTTGTCTAGGACATTTAGGAGGCTTTATTAAAGAAGGAATCGACTTGATGGCAATGGGTTTGGTTTTCGGTCATTAAAGACGTGACATTTGAAATGGATCTTGAAGAATGAGTTTTCCAGACACAGATTAAAAAATACTAACCAGATACTAGGAAAAATGTATGGAAAAACATAGAATTTTGAAAGGACTTGGAAGGCTTTGGGATAGTGAGAAAATCAACATGTTTAGAGGCTGGGAAAATGTGATAGGAGGTGAGGCTGGAGGGGTCTTCTAATATCTAGAGAGTTTTTTCATGTAAAGCAAGGGCTCAGCTACCCAGTTTCAATCAACAGTATGATTTTAGTTCACAAGGCCAGGCAGTGAGGCAGAATTTCCATATAGACATATTTTCCAGAACAGGAAATCTGAACAATTTATAGTGTCTATGAATTGGAGGATACTGGTGAATAGCAGAGATTCTATGGTGCTTTAGAGACAGGAGTTTCATTATCACAACAAGGGCATGATAGCAGCATGAGCTGGAACTTGGAGACCAAGTTAGAGCCCAATTGTCTCTGTATAGGTCATGTCATCAGGAGTCAGTTACAGGTGACAGCTCAGTTCAGGAAACCAGACATAAATCAGTCAGCCCAGCAGATGGTGCTGCCCTAGCGCTTTCTGTCTCAGACTGAGCACAGGAACTGAGACATCAGGAAGCCTGCAGGTGGGAGACATCACTGGGACTGATGAAAGCAGAGAAAAAGGCAAGGTCAAATTATTTGTCATTTTGGCACATTCGCTAGTACTGTAACTCAAAAGGAAATAGTCTTTGACTGCTTTTGTAACCCTGTAAAAAATTTAAGAGCTGAACTATGGAACTCTTTTTACTTCTCAATTCATAAAGATTATAAAATAGCATGAGCAACCCGGAATGCTACAGCTAAAAACTTCATTTGATATCCTTTTTCTTTAATAAGTGGAAGCATATCAGCCTCCATTTGTTCATATACATCTAGCACAATCTTCTGTTTCCCTAATTGAAAGTAGGTTGAAGTTAATCATGTATTCAGTAAGTTACTGTTTATACCCTGACTTGTCGTTTTAGTTGAATACCTATTTAAAAAATTGATTTAGCTATTTGGGTTTTGTTTTGTTTTGTTTCAGAGGATCTTATAATATCCTTCACAGTGTCCATGGCAATTGGACTTGTAATTGGAGGATTTATCTGGGCTCTGTTTGTTTGCTTGTCTCGAAGAAGAGCCAGCGCCTCCATCTCGCAGTGGAGTACCAACCGGCGACCTAGGTCTTCTTACAACCACGGACTCAGCAGAACTGGATTCTACCGCCACAGCGGCTGTGAACGTCGAAGCAACCTCAGCCTGGCTAGTCTCACGTTCCAGCGACAAGCTTCCATGGAACAAGCAAATTCCTTTCCAAGAAAATCAAGCTTCAGGGCTTCTACTTTCCATCCCTTTCTGCAATGCCCACCACTTCCCGTGGAAACTGACAGTCATCTGATGACACTCCCTTCTTCCAGTGCCTCTCCCACCAGCAACACGTCGCACAGCCTGAGCCGTCCTGATTTCCACTGGTCCAATAACAACCTTCGCATTGGCTTTTCACCACCACCACCACCTGCGTATGAGTCTATCATAAAGGCATTTCCAGATTCCTGAGTAGGGTGTTTTGGTTGTTTTTTCTTCCTTTATTTCTTTGTTTTCTTGTCCTTTTTAGAAAGGAAATTATGAATAGGCTAAGCAGAATTTTGAGGCCATGGCTCAGACTACTAAGGAACTTCGAGCTAAATATGCTCACGCAAGTTGGACGTTAACCATGTATAATATAATTTCTTTGAACACATTTTTTTGGGTGTCTTACTAAAAAGTAATATTTTTTCCAAATAATTACATATTTATGTGTTTTGTATTTAGAGCCCCTGGTGGCACAGTAGATAAGCGTTTGGCTGCTAACCAAGAGATCGCCAGCTCCTTGAAAACCCTGTGGGGCAGTTCTACTTTGTCCTATAGGGTCACTATGAGTTGGAATGGACTCAACGGCAATAGGTTTTTACATTTTGTATTCAATGTAATAATTATTAAAGATAGCGATTCTAACAAGCAGCTGTGATATAGTATATATATACTAAAAATGCTTGATATGTGTGGTTTACAATCATGTATATTCCACTGTGACTATAAAGGGGAAAAGAAATTACTGTGTCACTTTTTATAAAAATCTTCTATCCTACAGAATTGTAATTTTACTTTCTTAGAATGACAAGTGAACCATACTGACATCTTACAACTTGGATTGTTAGTGGATTATGTGGGCAGAAACTGACAGAGCATAAAAAATTCTAATTTCTTGATTTTATTGATTTATGAAAAGTGAGGGACTCAAGCAAAGGAAGCTGAACTCTCTCGGTGTCCTGTTGTGTTGCTGTGTGCTACTGAGTCAATTCTGACTCATAGCGACCCCATGTGACAGAGTAGAACTACCGCATAGGGTTTCCTAGACTGTAATCTTTACGGGAGCAGATTGCCAGGTCTTTTTCCCATGTAGCTGCTGGGTAGGTTTGAACCACCAACCTTTTGGTTAGCCACCAAGCACTTAACCGTTTCCACCACCAGCGCTCCTGCTGGTGTTATAGGACACTTCAAATTTGAAACTTATATTTTCCCAGACACTTTCTTTGTGTACGTTTCCCAAGAATAGTTATTTCACTGAGGCAAAAATCTGTTACTAACCTGATGATATAACTTCTTTACTCTCGTAGTTATGCTATGTTATTATAAAAAAACAACAAATGCAAATCGTTTGACCTAAAAACAAAGTTTGAACTTACATTTTTCTTAAAGGACAAGTTTGTTTTTTTTTTTTTTTTTTTTTTACTGTGCTTACATCTAGGAACTAGGAAAGCAGTTGGTCTAGGAATCTTGTTCCTTCCAGACGAGAGAAGTAAGGGTCACTGGGAAACAGAGTCTGCCACTGAAATAGATGTTACGTTCGTGAAGAATTCTCCTTCCTGGGTTGACTCTTAACCACCAGGCATCAGCCCTTGTCTGCTTCTCTATGAATTCTGAACCCCCAAATCTCTGAAGAGTCTTTGTACAATGATCAAACCATGCCATATGGCATGGGGACCTTGGCGCAGACATTTGTTTAAGAGGTCCACTCCTATAAGTTGCCATCCTCGTAAAGTACGGCACATCCCCAAATCTGAGTGCCAGCATTTCAGTGGCCAGATGCCTCTTTTTTGTTTTAGGACATGAGTTCACTGGAGTATTACTAACAAGGTCTGTGGTTCATTTCTGATGTAATGAACATTTTGTTTCTCTCTCTGAAAATTGGGATTTTTAGCAAAGAAAATTTACACCCATTTTAGTTTCTACAATGCAGTGGTCAGAGCCCTGGTGGCGCAGTGGTCAAGAGCTCAGGCTGTTAACCAAAAGGTCGGCAGTTCGAATCCACCAGCTGCTCCTTGGAAGCCCTATGGAGCAGTTCTGCTTTGTCCTGTAGGGTCATTATGAATGGGAATTGACTCGATGGCAAAGAGTTTTGGTAACACAGTGGTCAGAGTTAATAGTGTCTGGCTCAAGAATGTAATAATTCTTATGTAATAAAAGATTCTGATAGCATTTTCTTTATTACTTTTATTTAGCTTGTATTATCCATTGTTCCTCAAAGACGGTTATTTTTTTTTTTTTAATTGAACTCTAGACGAAGGTTTATGGAACAAATAATTTCTCGTTAAACAGTACACATATTGTTTTATGACAATGGTTAACAACCCCACAACTTATGGACACTGTCCCTTCTCAACCTTGGAGATAGTTATTCTTAATGATGTCTACAAGTGCATGCTCTCTAATGCAATGTGACAGGAAGAAAGAAAGAAAGAAGGAAGGAAAGAAGGTTAGGGGACGGAGAAAAAAACTCACCAAATAACCAACTTATTGTAAATTGGTTTTTAACAAGGAAATTTAGAAGTTTTCATATAGCCAAGTAAGATTTTAAGAGAGTGTTAACTTAGTAACCATTTTTTTTTTTTTACTTGTATATCATCCTTAATGTGTAATGTGAGAATTAAGCAAAGTGTATGCTTTTTACCTAGAATTTATATTGGAAGTAAAAACTGCTTTATATCTCTCAAATTAGGGAAACGAGAGCAGAAATCTTCTGGTGTATTTAACCATCTGGCCAAATTGTTGCCTTCCTCTGCCCTGAATTATGAAACAATCAGAATGATTATCTTGTAAATATTGTTCGGTGTATGAAATGTGAAATGAAAGCAAAAATTGGAGATTTTTTTTGGTTGTAATTTTTTTAATGTTTTGTTGATTATGAAATAAAATTAAACTGATGCTAACTTTGGTGTACAGTTTTGATATTGAACATTCCCTTCTAAAAAGCAAGAAGGTAAGAAAATGTAAAATGAAGACACAAATTAGGAAAACACTTTAGATAAAGAAAAATTATATTATTACGGGTCTCGAACTTATTAAAATTAATTGAATAAGAAAAATCTCCTTTTTACTTTGGAGTCAACCCTATCTAGACCATTCTTTGTAAACTAGAAGATTGAGATAAAAGCTCTATTTTGTATAAAAATGTACAATAGAAAAAGGGTGACTTCACAAATAAATGGAGTTTTTCAATAAATTCATTCAAATCAAAGAATTAGTAAGTTACTTATTAAAATTATTAAGTTCTGAACAGAAGTAATGTGAATGTTGACACAATGTGAAGAATGTAACTAATATAACTGATCATTATATCTAGAAACTGTGGAATGGGAGAAGGTTATGTTGTGCTTATGTTCACCAAAAATAAAACTAAATAATAGTTTTAAAACATTAATTATATTCTTATTCCATTGTGTCCACCAAAATAATTCCAGAATTATTTAATTAATTTATTTATAAAGCAAACATGTTAAATACAGGCCATATTTAAATTAGAGGAAATTGAAATGAATGCTTAGCAAATTTATGAAAGGGAAGAGGAACACTTTCTAAGAAGCAAATGGATGGTATAAATTACCAAGGAAAATATTAATAACTTTGATTATTGTAAAAATTCTAAAATTCCATCCATCAAAAAAGTTATCCAGTTTTAAAGCTAACTTTGATTATTTAAAAAATTCTAAAGTCCCATTTATCAGAAAATGTATCCAGTTTGAAAGTAAGCAAAAAAAGAGATTGACATCTACAGTAAAATGGCAAATAAATGGCCAACATCTTTAAATTATGATACGGTCACACAAATAGATTTTAAAAACACTACGTTCTAAATACATGAACAAATAAAGGACCAAAACAGATAATTCACCCAAGAGAAAATTTAATTGATTAACAATTGAATGGTGAATTGGAAAATATCACTACTAATAAATTGCACATGTGCATTTAAACAATAACATTTTTATCTATCATATTAGCTGATCATTTCTAAGAATAAATTTCTTCATTGTTGGAAAATATACTAAGAAAGGATATTCTCACATATTCCTGGTGGCAAGGTAGATAGGAACTATCCTTTCGGAAGACAGTTTGATAAGACATATGAGAGTTTTGCATTAGACAGAGCATGACAACTTCTAGTGCCTGCCAGGGACACATTTCCTTTTAGAAGAGTGGTGATGGGCTTTTAAGGAGCCAAACCCTACTACACTGGCCATATGTGGCCAAAACAGGACATTGCATATCAAACAATGAGCAGCTGACCACGTTAAATCTTTTCTGCTTTGTGGTGAGAGGATTGGCATGAAAGGACAGAGTGGGAGAATCGCCAGCCGCAATACATTTGAGACACAGAGTGGAAAGGATATACTAGAGCTTCAGGGAACAGGAGCTGAAAAGCTGCAGCATCCTCTTGAGAAACTTCTGTTAAGATTATTTGTATATTTTTATGACTCCACCACCTGAAAGGAATTAACCACCAAATCAGTTCAAGGAGGAGATGATGAAAAATAGGCCCTTAGAGTGTATACACCGAGACTGTTCTTCCTTGGCTCAGGCAAGCAGGACCCCTGCTCAGGGCCCCAAGTCTCATAGGGCCCCATGCTTTTGAGTACCCTCCTTGAAATTCTAAATCATAATTCAGTACGTAGGACTACCCAGGGCTGGCAATGTATCTGGGCAGGGTACCCTGAGCCTAGACTAGGACCTGTTTGGACCCTTGCCCTGTGCGGATTTCTTTCCTTTGAGGTTTCTTTGACCCTCTATCCTATGTGTGGGGTCAACTACATGCCCAAGAGGCTCCATAACTTCTATCTATGGGGTATGCTGGGTCTTGATGATTGTTACCTAGTTCCAGGAGGGCAGCTTGGCAATGAGATCACTTTGGCTGGCTGGGGCATATTTCTTTCGTGGAATCGCACAAGATTGGGCCACCAGAATGGGGCTGACATGCTAATTCTGGGTGGCTGTTATTCAGGATGAAGAATCTTTATGTGCCTTAATTGGGCAATAAACAAATCCATAAGTACTTCTTGGCCTATTTAAATCTTCATAGTAAGATCACTATACCTCATGTGTGCCAATTAATTTTGTAAAACATTTTTAATAAAAAAAAATTATAGGAAAGGACCCTGCAAAAACGTTTGCTCAGGGTTTCACACACCCTAGAGGCATCCCTGTGCTAGAATAATGCAAGAAGACATCATAAGTTTGCCTAATCTGATTTGGGTAATAAGCAGTTCATGCTTTGTGGTGGTAAAACACTTGTCATCTCCAATCCTTGTCATAAAAGACATTGTGTTATACTGAAGAGCTTGGAGTAGTGGTAGTTATAGCTTTAGAGTGGTTCCAAGGGATGAAACTATGCAAGATGAACACATTTAATTAGATCTCTGTTACAGCCTTAGTAGAGTAAGAGAGTCGTGTAAATATATTAGAGTACAAGTGTACATGGTGGCTCTTATAAGACATTTTGGGGGAAATTATATATCCTAGTCCCAAGGTGCCTGGCCAGGGGGAGATAGAAATGTAGGGCTAGCATGTGTCACTGCAGCCAGAAATCCTTTCTCCTTGTAGCCTGTACTTTGAGACTACAGAAAGCCAGCTCCAGAAATGGACACATTTATGAATTGTAGGATTACTAGAGTACCAGGGACTCCATGATTAAAGAGGATCTTTATCCACAAAATCAGACTTTATAAGATAACCCCTGCTTAGGCTAAAATTGTTGTAGTTAGTTGCTGTTGAGTTAGCTCCCACTTATGACAACCGTATGTATAACAGAAGGAAATGTCGCCTGGTCTTGCAGCATCTTCATGATTATTGGTATGCCTGAGCATGGTTGAATTGGTATAAACCTGTAAACCCATTGCCGTCTATTCGATTCCAACCCATAGTGACCCTAGAGGACAGAGTAGAACTGCCCCATGGAGTTTCCAAGGAGCGGCTGGTGGATTTGAACTGCCGACATTTTGGTTAGCCGCTGTATCCCTTAACCACTGTGCCACCAGGGCTCCTGAGTTGGTATGTTTAAGCTAAAATTAAAATGAGATTACTGACTATAATGGGGGTAGGACGAAACAGGGATGGCTGCTCTTAAGTAACAGAAACCAAGCAGTCAAATCATCTTGGGACTCTGACAGTGAAGGTATGCAGGCTATGATAGAAGTAGTCTAAGATGATTATTCACAGATGAAGAGCAGACTGAGAACAAATATTGACAAATGTGTGACAAAGAGTTAATGCTCTTTACATAATGATCTCATAAGGTCAAAGAGAAAAAAAAATTGCAAGAGAGAAGTCAGAGAATTCACTGATGAAAATGAACATAAAGGATCCTAAATAGAAAACTCCATCTGCATTGAAAGTAAGGAAAACTTCAAACTTCTATTAAGAATCAGAAAGAATAGCAAGAAGATGCAGTAGAAGTTTTACAAAATTGACAAGGGATATCAAGAACAACTTGCACATTCCAGTTGAGGGACACACTGTGATAACGTGGAGACACAGTAGTGAAGTGAAGAGAACTCTGAGAGGTAATGTAAATACCCAGTCTGCATAGACAATAGCTGGAGATACGGATGGGCTGTGAGAAGGACTGGGCCCAGCCCCTAACCACATGCACGTAATCTGCCAATCAACAGATCTGACAGAGGTCGAGGAGAAATTATTCTACACGGCAGTGCCATGTTTTTCTCTATCAGGTTTTCTATCAGGGACTACTGAAGTCTGAAACAAGTTTTCTTTGTACCTTCAGAGAAATATATATACAGTCTGTTCTGCTACAACACTTATTTCTTTGATGCCAAGTACCTCATGAACCATTGGTAAACAGACAAATGGTATTGGTATAATGCAGAAGTCAAAAATCCTTTGGTTCATTTGGAATTTTTCCTGGTGCATCCCTAGTTTGAAGCAGTCAGGAATATACTTGCTCAGATTAAAAACTCTCAACTCAATAAGACCAGTGTGCTCTGTGATCCTCCCTCTGCTCTGTAGTCGGGAGTCTGCCCCCCACCTAAGAAAATTTAATGTGATTGTAGGACTTACCTCATTTGTTTTCCTTCCTTCAGGGATCATACTCTTGGGCTGCAATATGTGAAAACAGTTGTTTTATACATGTTGTCCAGCCTTATAGTTTGGTATTGCCAGAGAGTAAATCTTATCCCTTTCACTCCATTGTGACTGGAGGTGGAAGTTTCTATAAGGCTTTTTAAAAAATAAAATGAAAATATTACCCATGATGCAATGCTATAAACAATATTAAAAGTCAAATTATGAACTGTGAACAATATTTTCCATATATACGTATGTTATGGATGAAGGACATTAGGTAATTTTCACGACAATGATGACCAGTGTGTTTATGAAAATATACTCTTATGAAGTGTACTTCAGCTATATAAATTGAAAACTTGAATATTCTTTGAGTATTATAAATATTTACTCTGGGAAAATAATTCTAGTTGCTGCAAAATTTTTATATTATAACTTACCTCTTCAGGTGTCTGATGAATATTAAACCAAAATGAATAGGCAGCATACAAAAAATCAGTCTCCTAGCCTCAAGCCCAAACGGTCCAGTTACAGCTCCATTGGACTAAGAATGTACTATTGACTTAGAGGTTGCCCAGGAATCACTTGACCAATAAGATGAACAGGGATTTGGATTTACAGTTAGTCTAGCGCTTAGAGTGCAAATTTAAAGTGCTCAGTGTACTCCAAGCAAAATCAACCAGAAGCCCTGAAATGAGACACTGATCACATTATGGAATCATATAGATTAAGTTTCTGCAAATGCCTATATAGAACAATCTGATTACCTACAACAAAAGCATATATTAAACAGGAATTACATGGAAACTGTAGGAGCTAGAACCAGAAAATCATGTAGAAAGAAAAGATGAGGTGGCTACTCTAAATTTGGCCAAGGTGAATAAAGTAGGGGAGGTAAAGGGGAGCATATTACCAGAGGAAA